TTCCTAAAAAAAATAAAACTAACTACACCCGGTTCAAACAAAACCCTTGGAAAAGAACCGCGGCACAAAGAAAAACCAAGAGGTAATTGCTACACTACCTAACAAAAGAAAATCTTTTTGGTTTTTTCTTTAGACATAAATCGCTCAAGAAAATTGTCTAATAGATCCATCGTTGGGAAAAGTCCAATCTTTTCTATTAAAAAAAACCAATTAAACTAACACAACTAAATTAGCATGGAAAGTCACCCAAACAATCTCTTCACCCCACACTTAAAATTATGCATTGTCCCCAATACACATCATAACTATAAGAGGGTAAAAGAAACTCCCTGATAGGCCAAAGGCCGAAGCACTAGCAGCTCATGGGGTACTCAGACTTCTCCCAGACTTGATCCTTCGTGCGGGTACCTCACACTTAGTTCCAACCATCTGGTTTGCTGTTGCATCCTTCCAATAGCTTTGCTTTCCATGTTCCTAGAAAATAAAAAAAATTGACACTATAAAAATAATACAATTAAAAAAAAATAATAAAAGAAAGCAATAAAGTTGGGTTGCCTCCCAACAAGCGCTTGATTTTAACGTCGTGGCACGACGCGAATCACTTTTTGCCTCCCCCTCGAGCTTATGAATTGAACCCCCAATTTGGCTTCAAGCTTATGATTATGGTCATGGGGCGGTGGAACGAATCTAACTAGCCCAAGGAAATAATGTAGTATTCTGCACTCCTTGGCCTTTGTATGAGGTATGTAATCCTGACTTTCTGGCAAGAAGAATTCCAGAATATATGCACCTTGTTCCTCATTCCTTGACTCTTCAATTGGTTCGGATGACTCTATTTCCATATCATCATCCAAACATAATGTGGAAAAATGCTTGGAGTGTGGACCAATGCGCTCAAACACATGAACTTCAGGACTTTCAACATCCTCAACATCAATGATACTAGAGTCAACAAAATTTATATCCTCAAAGTCCTTGGCTGGCTCTAGTCTCACTTCTTCAACATTGACATCCTCAAATTGTAGTTGGCTAGCTTGTTGATGTTCTACTCTGACTTCCTCAATTAGCACCTCAAATACACTCCCTTCTTGGCTCCTATCCCCAAAATTGGCTTGCTGAGCATTAAAAGCTTCAACCACTTGACTCACTTGAGCCTCCAAGTTGCGAATAGTTGCCTCTTGCCTTTCTATCTGCAATTGTTTCATATTATTTTGTTCCAGAAGGCACTTTAACATATCCTTGGTCTCCTTCAGGTCCGCATCCCCAGGTTCTTTATTCCTATTAACTTCACAAGAAAAGGTAGAGCCATCATAATAAGGGGTTGGGGAAGATAAGAAATATAAGCACAACCATGAAAGTGACCATTTTTACCACCACACACATCACAAACATTCCACAAATAAGATTGAGTTGGTGCACATAACTCGCTCTCAGGAACGTTTTGAAAAGTTTGCCACGGGTGGTTTCCTTCGCAATATGTATGGAGATCAATAGTAGAATTATCTACACCTAAATTCCCATAATTCCAAGATGTCATGTTTCTCAAATCAACATTTATAAAAAAATACAAAAAAATAAAATAAAATAAAAGTTCAAACTCGAAACCTAGCAATATATACAGCTACAACTACATCGTTAGTTCCCCGGCAAAGGCACTAAAATTTGGTCACACCCAACTATGCCTTATAAAAAGGACTAAGCGGTCGTTGCAAATATAATCCAGTTTACAAGTCCGGAGTAATTACCATAATTTACTAGACATATTCTCCCGAATTACGCTAGCTGGCATCAAGTACGGCTCACTCGGATCGCACCCAAGGTTTCGTTATCCCTAATCCCACCTTTAAACCCTCCGTATTGATCCCTTATATACTTTAGGAGTGATGTTGTTCAACAACTACCTAAATATGCGCTCTCTCCCGAGTAATATACACTAAACAGGCACATGCAATTGAGAGCTCTTCAACCAACCACAATAAGAACTTAGTTGAACAAATAGAGAAAATACTATAACAAATCTATATTAATGTAACAGGAAAATCATACTCCAATAGGTTCCATCAAAACCCTAGATAACAAATTAGCTATTCATAATAGTATGCATAAATACAGTACTAGAATTCATAACCAATAATGGAAATAGGAAGAAGGAAGTGAAACTCGTAGAAGAATTCTCCGCCTTGCTCCTAGTGTGTTCTTGCCTCCTTCGGTCGAATCCCCGGTCTCCTTAGCCTCTTTAGGTCTAAATTATGTCCAAAGTATGTCAAACGTCCTCAAAATACCGTTTTCCCATGTAATATACCAAGTAGGGTCGGGCCCAAACAATTACACCTTCTCCTACGCGAAAAAGGACACTTTTCCCAGGCAGGACATGCGCGGCCACGCTTGGACCGCGCATATCCACTTTGATTCTGCCTGACGAGCGCGGCCTGAGCGCGGTCGCGCACTTGACGCGCACTTTTCACCCTGGACTTTTTGGAATTTGGAAAATCGTAAAACATGAAAGTTGTAGCCCTTTAAGTTGGCTTTCCAACCATATATTGTGGAGCCCAAATGAAGTTCTAAGCGAAAAGTTATGTGCATTTTACTAGACAGTGCGCAATATGCCTACTCGATTTCTTCGTTCGTTCTTAATTATCATCCGTTGATCCCCGAACACGATCCCGGCTTAATTCCTTGGGCTTTTACTCAGACTTCAAAGCTACAAATCACTTGAATTCATTCCATAACATCTACATAGCTCGGAATCCCTCCTACAAGGCATAAAACACACAATTAGGGCAAAACACTAGCGATTAAAGCGCAAACTCAATTAAAGTGCAGTAAATTGGAATGTAATAATCGACTAAAATATGTAATTATAGCCTATCATCACTGACGCAAATTTATTGTCTGCAATAACATATACAAAATTTTGTGTTGGGATTACTTTTTTAATATAGTAAACCAAACGATTTGTGTTGACACTTACCTATCAGCGGTCCAACATCTTTAAGGAGTCCATTACTCAAATGGTCACTCAACTATCCAAAATTATCTCCTAAAGTCACTTTTCTTTCGTTTGTAACAACAAAGTCACTGAACTATACTTATTACACTCAGAAGGTCACTTAACTAGATTTTTCAAATTTTGGATTGCCAAATACCTATTTTACCCTCTAAATTATAAACATTTATCTTCTTTTTATTTTTTTTTAAAATTTTTAATATTATGATTTTTCCCTTTTTAATTTAAATTATATATAGAATAAAAAAATATTATTTATAAATTAAAAAAAGTATTTAAGCATATATAATGCTGGAATAACAAAACAATAAGCATAGTAAAAAAAAATTAATTTGAATAGTTTGTTAGTAATAATAATTTTAGGATTTACAACAAATATTCAAAAATTTATTTACACAATTCAGAATGAAACAAGTAAAGGTTGTAAAATATATATTTCATGCACGTAATATAAAAATAATTGTTTAAATAAAGATAATTTTATAATATACATTATATATTCTTGAATATTATGTTCAATTATATTATATATATTCATGCACGACTTAACATATCATATTTTACCCTATTTAGATAGTCCCCCTGCTTTCCAGTGACATAACTTTGTGTCGTCGGAAAGTTGGAAGAAACATAATAATATAATTGAGCATAATTTTCAAGAATATGTAATGTATATTATAAAAATACCTTTATTAAAATAATTACTTTTATATTACGTGCATGGAATATATATTTTACAACCTTTATTTTCTTTCATTCTGAATTGTATAAATAAATTTTTGAATTTTTGTTGTTAATACTAAAAAGTTTAAAAAAATAAGAAGAATATACATGTTTACAATTTAGAGGGTTAAATAGGTATTTGGCAATCCAAAATTTGAAAAATCTAGTTGAGTGACCTTCTGAGTGCAGTAGGCATAGTTCAGTGACTTTGTTGTTACAAACGAAAGAAAAGTGACTTTAGAAGATAATTTGGGATAGTTGAGTGACCATTTGAGTAATTGACTCCATCTTTAAGTTGACACAGTAAAATTTATGCAAATGCACAAATATAATAGGAAATTTTGGTCATAATTTAAACCTAAAGAAACAATGCCAAATTCATTAACAATATTCGAGGCAAACTTACCCATTTGTCCGCAAAAAAAAAAAAAAAAAAAAAAAAAAA